CCACAAGCTAATCCGTTTGGTTTAAACCCATTTTTGCGAGTATGTCAGCGCACTTATTACCTTCTCGCATGATGTTGCGAATGGAGTAATTACATCGCCAAATAAGATGCCTTGAGTCTTCAACAATACTGCGAAACAAGCAATTCTATAATGGCCCTTCAGACAACAGATTTTCAACCAAGGATGAGTCAGTTTCAATGATTACTTCATGCAATCCTTTCTCTAGCACAATTGTCAATCCTCTGTACAAGCCCACATCTCAGCTTCCAAGCTTAAGCAAGAGTCAAGCTTTCCAAAATACCCGCTTAGATAAATTCCTGTTTTATCTCTAAAAACTCCCCCAAATCCACCTTCTCCTGGGTCTCCTCTGGTGCTTCCATCGGTATTCAAATTTATCTTACCTGTAGGAGGAGGAAACCACTTAATTAAAATGGGTACACTTTTATGAGAAGATAAAGACATGAAAAAAGCATGTTTAATCTCATTAACATAATTATGAATAAGAACTAAAGTATTTTGCCAAGATGGGTCTATGTTATCAAAGACTTTTCAATTACGTTCCTTACAGATTTGCCAAATTGTAACAGCAAACATCAAACTCCAACTTGGGTTTATGCTTTTCAGAACTTGTAAATTCTTTGTAAGCCAATCGATTAAGGTGTGCTGACTTTCCTTATCAAACCAGTGCTTACCCTTCAAATTAGTCCAAATGATTCTTGAACTAGAGCAATCACGTAATAAATACTCAATGTTTTCAACATGGGAATCACATCTAGGGCAATTAGCATTCCCCTTAAATCCTCTTCTCATTCTCATAGCATTAGTCAACAGTTTCCCATTAAAAACCAACCACAAAAAGCCTTTGAGCTTTTGTGGGATTTTAAATTTCCAAAGCCAATCCATATCAAAGAGGTTTTCCCCTTGATTAGAAATGAATTTATAAGCAGCAACAGTGGAGAACTCCCCACTTGTTGAACCCTTCCAATGAGGAGAATCTAGGAAGGTAACAAACCTGGGAAGTTTAACTTTCAGCACACAATCCATTGCTTCATTAGGAAGATGGGATTTGATAGAATCCACATCCCATTCACTGTCACGACCTGAACCCGCCCCTATGGGTTAAGGCCATAACCGGCCAGTAATCACGAGATTGCCTACGACCTCAAAGTAAATAACACAAAACTTATCAGAGTAAAGGGACTAAACATAAGCAAATTTAAAACTTTGTCCATAGAGCCGTACTTATATGCACATCATAACATTCCGCATTTTACATATGTTAATAACTCACAATAGAAAGTATAGTAGCATAAGGTTCTGTACAGACAGGATCATTCGAATCTAAGTCAACCAAACAAAACTATACACAGACGCAAACCAAAGTCCTTGCCAACATAACAAGATACACAGAATGGCAAAAGGGCGAAGACGTGTCTCGTGTGTGAGACGCAAGGGCTGACTCTTCAAAACTTTGGTTGTTCCATACCGACTTCACTGAGGCTGGGTCTGGACGTCTCTAGGCTCACCTACAAACATATGAATGAGCGTGAGTGAAAGCCCAGTGAATAATATCAAATAAAGAATATACATTGGAACAATATACATCAAACGGCCTTGGGCCCATTTTATATTTCTAACTAATACATACATGCATAGACATATGTAAGTTAAGTAACTGCGGTTCCAAACACATCAAACGACCTCGGGCCCAATTCATTTGTATCATTTAGGTCAAACTGGCCTTTGGCCCATTCATACTTTCATGTCAAACTGTTATTCGTGTTAGACTGTTATTCGTGTCAAACTATTATTCGTATCAAACTGGCCTCTGGCCCATTCATTCATGTCAAACTAGCCTCTGACCCATTCATTCATGTCAAACTGGCTTTTGGCCCATTCATACTTTCATGTCAAACTGTTATTCGTGTCAGACTGTTATTCGTGTCAAACTGTTATTTGTGTCAAACTATTATTCGTATCAAACTGGCCTTTGGCCCATTCAAACTTTCATGTCAAACAGGCCTCTGGCCCATTCATTCATGTCAAACTGGCCTCTGGCCCATTCATTCATGTCAAACTAGCCTCTGGCCTATTCATTCATTCTTGTCAAAACGGCCTCTGGCCCATTCACTCTATTATTCAGATCAAACTGGCCTTTGGCCCACTCATTTGGTATAGCAACCATTATCCACCAATAGAATCAACGAACTTATAAACTTACATAGAGGTAAGCAATTGGATAGCAACATATCCATCAAATCAACGAACTTATAAAACTTACATAGAAGTAAGCAATTGGATAACAACACATTTTAGATATCTTTGTTAAGATATTACTCACAGTGATCGGCTGATTGATTTGCCCTGGAGTTTGACCCTACACATCACATAACACATATGGGTCACAACCGATTCAATCCGTTCTTAATTCACATATTCCTCTTTAGGCTTAATTCTTATTCTTCTAACTCATTTACAATGCTCAATGTATGCCTAAGAGTACTTAGAAGTGAAAGGGAACGAAAAACATAACACATAATGCATTTTCAAAATTCCAGAAAACAGGGTCCCCGCTCGAGCGTGGACTTCCCCGCTTGAGCGGACCCATGAGGTCTGTAAAAGTGCTGGATGCATCAAAATTACGCTCGAGCGTGAAGTCTGGTGCTCGAGCGGAAGGTCTGTCTACATAGCTCCCAGCTCGAGCGTGAGACTCCCCGCTCGAGCGGACATCCAAGTCTGCAAAAATACTGGGAGCACGAAATTCAAGCTCAAGCGGCGGTTTCTCCGCTCGAGCGGACATCAAATGTTCTGGGTTTTCCAGAACATGTTCTTGAGCTTCAACTCGACATTCAAAGGCTCTAAATGCATGCTTTCAGCTCAAACTTCACATATGCATGTACTAATCATGGTACAAACACCGAATTACAACATTATGAAGCTCAATTTCACAATTTAGTCACATGCATGTCCCAATTCACATCAAATTCATTTCTAACATAACAAACTCATACATTCAAACTCATATTTTAATAAATTGTACATGCATGTGAGATGTAGCTCCCATTACCAACTCAAATGGTGCAAATGGTGATCACAAGCATGAACTCTAACCAAAATCTTACATGGATCATACCTTTCATGCTCAATTATACAAATTGAAAGCAATTACACACATGCATGCATCCATTGATCTTCAAATTACCAAAACCAACTCAATTTCCACATAATCAAACTAATTCATGTTCTTGACCATTAATCAAACTTGAATTCACAATTTACAACATTAAACTCATGAATTCCCTTACCTAGGAGCTCAATCTTCCAAACTATAGCAAATTTTTGAGTTTAATCTTCAAATTCCCCAACCTTGAGTCAAGATTACACAATTCTCTCCCTCTCTCTCTCTCTCTCTATAGCCGGCCCCCTCTCTTCCTTGGGTTCAAAATCAGCCAAAATGAAGCTAAAGAGGGAATTTGAGGGTGTAGTGCCTAATTACAACAAATCCCACTAATGCCAATATAATAATAATAAAGTAATTGGGCACTAATTTATCAATTTAATCAATTTAATCTGATCCGAATCAATTTCCAATTAAATTTCACCATAGGCTCTAAAAATTACGCTAATCATAATGGCGCAATCAATTTCAGGTTCTGTGGCCGATAAGGCCTTCAATTAATTTTTCAAAATAGATAATCAAACAGATATTCCTATAGTGAACAGATAGAAATTCAAAACCACATATTTTCACATGATGGTACACAAAATTATATCAAACACATAATCACATTTATAATAAGGACCATTTAGCATAATACAGAACAGGGTTATCACATTCACTCTCATCAGTCATGAGATTATCAACAGTCTCCATGTTAATAGAATCCCAATTTGGATATTGAGCCACCAATCATGCCATATTCTCACTTTAGTACTATCACCAATGCATCATTTGATGCAATTTCTCAAAATGTCTCTGGTTTTAAGAACTCCTCTCCAGATATGTTAGGAGCTCCTTTTACCAAAATAAGAGAGAACATTATCATTCTTCAAATATTTGCATTCTAACACTTTCACCCACAAATAATTATCCTTGCACAACAATTTCCACCCCATCTTGGACATAAGAGCCAAATTGTGGTACTTAGCCTCCCTAAGGCCAAGGCCTCCCATTTTCTTACTCTTACACACATTTGCCCAATTAACAAGATGAATTTTCTGGGTATTCACAGTGTCACCCCATAAGAAGTTCCTATTTAATTTATCAATCTCTTTGCAAATGCACATAGGAACATCAAGAGTTTGCATAGCATAAGTAGGGAGAGCTGAGGTTACCGATTGAATAAGAGTAGCTCTTCCATCCAGAGAAAGCAAATTAGCTTTCCACCCAGTGAGTCATGAATAAATTGAAAGTGACTCCTGCTGCACTTCTTATGAAGCAAAGGAATGTCTAAATACTTTCTCAAATCTTGGATCAGGGAAATGCTACACAAATTGCTCAAGGACTTGGCTTTCAAATTCTCAACATTGTGAGAAATAAAAAGCTCGGATTTTTCAAGATTAACCTTGAGACCAAACTGCAAACTAAACTCATTCAAAACTCCCATGATATTCTCACGGTTTCTCTCATCAGCTTTACCAAGTAGGCTAACAATGTCAAAAATAGCAAAAGCCTAGTCCGAGCCCACCCCTAGTACCGGTGAGTAAAAATTGAGTATAGAGGTGATACCGATGACGCCAAACAATAAATCCTATATGGGAGGGATGAACTCTTACTTTTCAGATAAAAGTACCTTTCCACATATGTCACTACAGGAAAAATGGCCTACTGCAACGTTTTTTTTTTATGGCATTTAAGGAAACGCCATTATAGATGAATTAAACACAACGTTTTCAAAACGTTGTCTTTGATCTCAGTTAAACGGCATCGTATTGGGTGTATATATTGATACCGTCCATACTCCGTCTCTCGCTTTCTCTGTGTCTCTTCCACAGCTCTCTCTCTCTCTCTCTCTCTTTCTCTCTCTCTCTCTTCCAAAGCCCTAGATTTGAAGCTCTCTCGCTTAGTTTCAAACAATAATCCCATCTCGATTTGATCTCACTTTCTCGTTCGCTCGATTGCAGATTTTGCATTGTATATTCATCGAACTCTCTAGCTGTTCTTCTTTGATCTGTCGCTCGAGGACTTTACTCTAGCTATTCTTCATCGAACTCGAACTCAAACTCAATCTGTTCTTCATCAAATCGCAAATCCAAAATCGATATCATTCTTGAACCAGATCGATCTCTGTTGCTCTTATCTCAGGTACATTTTTTTTATTTTAATCGGTGTTCGAGTTTGAACCAGATCAATCTCTGTTGCTCGACTTTCTCATTGTCAAATCTGCTGATTAACTCTCTAATTTTTTAATTCTCGGATTAGGTCAAATCAAATCGTTGAACCAGATTGATCTCTCTTGCTCTTCATCTCAGGTACATTTTTCAAAGCAATTAATTCTTTGGCAGTTTTGTTTGTTTTTCTTTACTTTGTTCATCTTTGATGGATTAGCATGAAACATTGTTCATTATGGAATATTTAAGAGCAGATTTGGGCAACCCCATTTCATCATTCTGATTGAGAAATAGTAGAATTTTTTTATTTTTTTATTTTTGGAAACTGATTAATTGTTTGTCCTGTTAATTTTGTAGTGTGGGTTTTATGACTCATGATTTTGAATCTTTTCTGTTGGTTGTTTAGAAAATGGAGGAATGGACATGAAAATTTCCATCCCGTGGCTGCTATGATTTTTTCTCTTTGTAATGAACACTTTTTTTAGTTTAGTTTATTTTATTTTTTTATGTTGGATTTCATAATTATCAGTGGACACATTTGATTTTCGTGTGTCTTTTATATGCACGCTGATCATTTACCAACAATGCATAGAGTACAAGGATGACATTAGTTTGGAAACTTGTAAATATAAATACTTGTTGTTCGATTAGTTTATATTTTTTTTATAAACTTGTTGTATGATATCTATCTTTTAGTCATAAAGCCATTTTTTGGTGAATTATGCCCCTCTCTATGCTTCTTAAGTTTCTGTTGACTTGTAAATTTTAAAACCCGCAAAAGCTATCCTATTTTCTTTAGGATTCAATTACATTAATAGTTTAACTACTCTCCCATTTTCAATCTTTGATTCACATAATCCCTTATAAAGGAGTTTGATAAATGATTATTGAGTTTAATGTTTTCTATTTCTACTCCAAGAGCGCATGATCCTTCAGTTGGTACTGCAAGTACTTTGGTCATATGATCTTTTATCACTGCTTAAATAGAGAGATTCCTTCCTTAGCTTTCATCTCTCTATTTTTCGTTCGCCTTCTCTTTTTGGGTGTCATTTTACAAGTTGAGACGATTCATGATAAGTTAGTTTAGATGATAATTGTCGTTGTTGAATACTTTGGGCTTGAGTCTTATTTTCAGATCATTGTTAGGTCCCTATGTTGTCAAATCCGGAGACAAAACATTGTGTTGATTCAAATGTAATTTTTTGTGTTTTTGTTCTGTCCGCTCGAGCGGAGCCTTATGAGCTCGAGCGTAGATTAGCAGGTCTCAGTATTTTGTCAGGGCAAGCAAAAAATACTGGTGGGTGTGATTTTACGCTCGAGCGGATTCTCCTACGCTCGAGCGCATCTCAGTTTGTTCGCACGCAGTTTTTGGTCAGTCCGCTCGAGCGGGCTGTGTTGAGCTCGAGCGGAGATCGCGAATTCCAGTTCCTATTCTAATTTGTTAAGGATGTTTTTTGAACAGTAAGTTTTTCCTAGATATCTTCAACGACTAGAGGGTGTTTTTTTTTTATAAAGTTTTCCTTTGGAGCATTTTTCATAGTTGTTCCTATGTTCTTGAGAGAGTTCTGAACTTATGCATTGAGATTCATACATCAAGGAGGTTGCTTCTTAAGTTTCAAGTGAGTTCTCTTCGGTGGATTCCGAAGATTAAAGCGTAGAATTCAAAAGGCGTTTGATTCTACGCAGTCGTTAATTCGACAAGTGAAGTTGTGGTGTGGAATCAACTTCAGGATCAATTCCGTGACGAAGGTGTGGTGAAAGAGTTACAGAAGATTCAGAGACAAATTGACTGGGTTGGGTAATTTGTATGGTATCTTTGTAATTTTTTTTCGTTCTTCAGTAGTGGATTGATAGTGGCGGTTCGCCCGTGATTTTTTTTTACAATTGAAGGTTCTTCAATTGTGGTTTTTTCCACGTAAAAAATCGTTTGTGTCGATTTATTGTTTATTCTCAAAAACAAACAAACTAAAATCACTCTCGTAAGTGTTTGATGATTTTAGGTTGAGTGTTTTGAATTAATTGAGATTTGGAATAAGTTAATCTTGATCTAATCACAAATCACGTAGGATTTTCAGTAAGGTGGAACAATTTAGATTCTTTTTTTTTTTTTTTAAAGTATAAATTCTATTGATGAAAAAGCGGCCATATGTAGCTGCTCAAACTGTGATGTATATAGAAAGCAAAGGCGATACAATTTGGATTTTATTTTTATTACATAATGGTGACAAGACAAACCTAAAAGATTTCTGAGGTTTATGGAAATAAACATGGATAGCCAGCTCTGTGTGCTTGAATATTGTTTCACTATGTAAACTAATAATAATAATAATCAAATCAAACTAATGATTGAATAATCTCACACACCCAGTGCTATGTTGTATTTGCCTTCAAATAGAATTTACATAGTTAGTGATATATACAATCAGGTTTGCTTCTTATCTCAACATAACATAATTGTGAATTCTAAAATTTATCAACATTTGAATTCTAACATTTATCTAATACATTATTATTGTGCTTTCAGTAAAGAATTTAGTCCTGGTTTTTCTTCACTTCTATAGTATCTGATGAACTGTCATTGCTTATATGTACCTGCCTTGAATTGCTGAGGTCCATTTCAATATCAATTGGTATTGTACCTGCCTATTCTAGAAGCATTCCTACCGTGTCTGATACTTTTTCATATTTAGTGATGGTGCCTACCTGGACATGAATTGCAGGCTTTGACATTGATAGGGAAGTAAGAAGGGATTAAAGGGTATTGGAAAGGCAACCTTCCACAGGTCCTTTGCATCCTTTGCTTTTCACTTTCCCATAGATAAGCTTTTTTTCTAGTAGTATTTTCACAGTATTTTTGCCAAATTCTATACAAGTTTTTTGTCGAATTTCACTTACTAAACATTTCCTTTTTCAATTTCAGGTGATACGCATCATACCTTATAGTGCAGTCCAGTTGTTTGCTTATGAAATCTACAAGGTAATAGCAATACCAATTTTCAAAAAAGTCTTAGCACTCTATGAACTTTTACTGTTCAAAGCATTTGATTAGTATTTTACCTTTGAATTTCTAAAAACTTTTTAGGGGGAAGGATGGCCTCTCAACGGACCATGGGCGGGCCTGTTGCACCAGCTGCTACACATGTGCATTCACAACAACAATCCCATGCATATACCTCATCGTTTAATTGCCATCATTTGTCCGAGGAAGTGAGTAAATAGTTAATTATGAAATTTTCAATATGATATTTTATTCATATTATTTGTTCTTATCAAATGCAGGTTCATATATCAAAGAAAGAAAATAAGAAGAAGAAGAAGAAGTAGATATATATGACAAACTCAATGAAAGAAGGACGATGGAGTCTACTGAATTCAAGGTTAGAGCTGTTCCTAATTTTAGTTTATTTGTGAATTTTATTTTATTAATGAAGTTGAATTTTTTTAGAATTTCATTCTTAGTTTATAGTTTGTTTTGTAGTTTGTTTTTTGTCTATTGTTTTTGGAAGTGTTTTGGTTTGGGTCTGTCATGGTCTAGATATATGCAGGTTTGGAGATATATGCAACTGTTGAGCAGTTGCTTGTTTCTGAACTCTGTTTTGGTGTGGTTCTTCTATGCTGCTTACTATTGTTGGTTACAGTCATCTCAAGTGGATATTGAAGCTAACATATTTGGCCATGTGATAATTGTGATGCTTAAATATGATGTTACGAATGTTTATTCATTGGACCATATCTAAGTTGCTAATACATTGTGATCAAGGAATCTTGTCTGCAAATTTTGTAATTGAAAATCATGCTCTTTTTTTTCGGTGAATTTGAAAATCAAGCTTAGTAAAAGCTTTAATGGAAAAAGTTTTAGTCACAAAATGGTAAAACAAGGAAGTTTAAAGTTCCATACTAGTTAAGAATAGATTTTATCGTTCTTTAATTTGGAACAGTATGATTCATTACTTGCAAAATTGATCGAGAATAATTTAGTTCTTTTTCTTTATTCTTTTGTTTTTGTAGAAATGTTTTTTTTTTTTCCATTTTTGATTGATGTATTTGATTTCAATTGCTTTCCAATTCTTAGCCATGAAAACATGTGTGCTATACATAGCTTTGTATTGACAACAGCTATATTTTTAGGCCAATGAAGAGGCAGAGCTCCCTGAGTACATTCTTGGAACTATTCGACTGAATCGTGTAAAGCTCAACTCTGTTGTACCTTTTGAAGTTTGAAATATTTTGATATTTACAAAAATAATTGGCATTATTGTAACTGGGTGCATTCCAATGATTTCCAGATTCTGGTGTGGATTATTGTTCTTATAATTTGGACAAGACATTGAAAATTCATTAATAGATCACCCAACATTGGTTCCAATGAGTATTTATTCAATCTTAGATACTATCTTATCTATTTGGTTTTTGCTTTTCAGCCTTTGGTTTTTTGCTTTTCAGCCTTTGGTTTTGTCTTAGACACTATCTCATGAAATGTGCAATTAGTTAAATTCTTTGGTTTATACTCTATTTCCAAAGTTGTAGTATGAACTTTGTAGTGCACAATAACATTTATTTTACAGCAACTATATATAGTCACAGAAAATGCCAACTTTGGTATTTTATTTCATAATATTGCAGCAGCAGCACAGACGAAAAAAAAAATTTGATATTTTATTTCATATTCTTGCAGCAGTAACAGCACAGAAGGAGAAAAAAAAAATAGTATTTTATTTCATACTCGCATTCCTTCTCAATTTTTTTTTTACTGCACATATTATGTGCATTCATAGATGAGCTCATTTTTAAAATTAAAAAAAAAAAATAGTTAAGCCCATCATGTCGTCTGAGAAATGAAAGTAAAATAAAAAAAAAAAACATTTAATTGATCTATAGCAACTTCTCCAAACCTTATATTTGCTCTAAACAAGCCCATATGAAACTTTTGAGTCCCTAATATTGTGTTTGGTTGGAGGATTTTGGGAGGGATTTGGAAAGGAAAATAGAAAAGGTAGGTGAAATGTAAATAAAATATGCCTATATTTCACCTAGTTTCACACACCTTTTCTCTTTCTCTTTCCAAATCCCTCAACCAAACACAACATAAATGAATTTTTTTTTTAAGTTGAATTTTTCTATAATTAGAAGCTTTCCTGATTGGTTGTACGTATAACAAATATAAATATGCACTGATAAGAAGCAGAAACGATTAACAGTTTGTTGGAATTAGTTTTTAGTAACACTTTTTTTATGGATTTGAAGGGCTAATGGAATTGCAGGGCTAATGGAAACAAGTGTCAGGAAACAAAAACAGTACTCACCTTCTTTTCATTTCAAATAACAAATATTAAGTGGAAAAAAAAATTATTTAGGTCTTATTTGTTAATAAGTTGTTTTAATTATAAATGTTAGAATTAATGTATAGGAAAAGAGAGAGAGAAACAATTATGTATGTATTGATAGATGTATTTCAGTAATTTACAACACTCTCATTTATAGAGAGTAAATAGGGTACATTGGATGCTAACCCACCGAAAGCATAAAGATACAACATTAGTTATACAATTAATATGAGTGGGACAGCTAGATAGTGCAGCTATATTACATTAATAGTACACTAATAACACTAACAGCCCTCCTCAAACTCAAGGAGGATAAACATTAACCAACTTGAGTTTGGACAGAGTAACAAAATAAAATAGGATAGGAGACACTATATGGTCGTGTCAGACCGTTGGTGAAGACACTAGATGGTCGTGTCAGACTGTTGTAGCAACTAACCAGAATCAATGTCGGGACAGTTTACGAGGTCATGTCGGACCGATGTAGAAGCTAATCGGAATCAATGTCGGGACAGTTTACGGGGTCATGCTGGACCGATGTAGAAGCTAACCGAAATCAATGTCGGGACAGTTTACGGGGTCATGCCGGACCGTTGTAGAGGACACTGTGTGGTTGTGTATATAGGCTGCCCAAAAGATATACATGTATATATATATATATCGAGCCCTCAAAACTCGCGCCCTCAAAAGGCGCGCCCACTTCATCAAAAGTCGTGCCCGACAGAAAGCGTAGAGCGGCGAGCCATCAAAAGTTGCGCCGAACACATGGTGATGCACGTGATCGACAGAGCATCGTGTCGTCCTCTTCGTCATTCTCTATATAAACCGAGGCGGAGTCTGTGCAAACCAAACTAGTCTGAAGCCTCTGAACATCTTCGTTCTGAAACACTTTGCAACCAACCCTTTCTGACATTACCAGTTTGAAATCGCTGCTACTCTGAAACACTCAGCAGCCCAAAACATGGCCTCTTCTTCTCGTGGTCTGCTCACTCTCTTTCCAGACCTCAACGAGTCCACAAGAGAGATAACCGGTGCGGTTGCCCTTGAACCTCAACCAAACGCCCCTGGTTTTGCTCTGTTGAACTTTCCTATGCGATCTGTGGAGCAAATAATGGCAGCGCAATCGGATATTGAGGCCAATCAATATACATTGAAGTCATGTGTGGAGACCATGACTGCGGTCACAAACTTGTCGCACCGGCTTCAGAGTAGAACAAATGAGGTGCAGCAGTTAAACGCCCAACTGGCTCTGCTCCAGCGCATGTATAAGGATGCGCGAGCAGAGATAAGTGTACTAAAGACGGAAAATAAGGAGCTGAAGCGGAAGGCCACCGTGATGTTTCGATTTGGAGGTCCGCCATATGCTGCAGTGGAGGAGTATGGGGGAGTGAACGTGCTCGGCGGCGTGGAAAACACGGAAGGCGCACCGTCAAGGGCCGCCCAGGACGGAGGCAAGAAGAAGAGACCGACGGCAGAGTAGAGAAGGGATAAGGAAAAAATCCCGCCTGTGGGTGGTGTTTGTGGGTTGGTGGGTTGCGTGGGTTTTGTTTTTTTTTTTTTTTGTGTGTGTGTGTGTAAAATTGTGATCAAGGTTGATCCCGGCAAGAAGAAATGACAAGTTTTTTTTTTTTTTTTTTTGTAACTCTCTGGTGTAGAACGAGGATGGGAGTAGATTCCTGAGATGAATAAAATAAGGTTTGGTGTGCAAATCTATATGGTATGAATGAGATTTGAAAAAGATTAGAAATAATGTGAAAGAAAAATAAAGAAAGAAATAATAAGAATATATTTGAAATCAAAACGAAAGAGTGGGGAAATAAGGAAAGTGTTTCACGTGGTTTCGGGGCCCACGGTTTTGTTAAATCCAATAATGGTGTTTGGAATATTTGTTTTTCTTCTTTTTTTTTTAATAATAATAATAATAATAATAATGTATTAATGGGGAAAGCATGTGCGCAGGTGGGAGCAGCTGCATATAAAAGATATAAAGGTGGGGAGGAATGGACCATAGAGAGACAGTGGGTGGAATAAATTAAGGGAAATGATGGATATGATTAAAGTGGGTCTGGTGGAGAGAAAAGGGACTAGAGAGAGAGGGAGTGGGTTGATTAAAAAAAATGTTTTCATCATAAAGTGCATGTTGGAGCAACATAGTGAAGCAAAAAAAAACAGTAGCACCAAAGCAAGTACGGCACAGCGTTAGTGCAGCGACGGATGGAGGTGTTACGCTGGCCGGGAAGGACGAAGCAGGCAGCTAAGAGCTCGCCGGAGGAGGGATCTGTTTGTCAATAATGGTGAAACATGTAGTGCCATCTGCACCAACTGTGATGTTGTCAAGATCACCGGCATGGCAATTCTCATCATGAGCATACTTAACAAAATCATTCTTCAAGATTCGCATGAGAATTGTAGTGAGAAAACCAAATAAAAGGAGAACTGTCACACATGAATTGATTATTGAGAACCAATGAATTTCCCAGTGAGGTGGTAGTGAAGAAAACTGTGACACTACAAGAAAATCGAGTTTTACCAGCGTTTTTTATTCCAGCGGCCCGAAAAACGCGGCTATAAATGGGTTATTGTAACGGTTGTTGGCCACTGTTAAAAAATCCAGTTTTAGTCACAGTTTTTCGCTAAAGCACTGCTATATATTTTTTTGTAGTGACAGTTTGGACTAAACCGCTACAATAAGCCAAGGTAAATAAACAGGCGCCAAAATAAATCTAATTTCGCGCTCAGATTTGTTTTTTTTTTTGGGGGGGGGGGGGGAAGAATAACATATCAGAATCAGTCCCCAAAAAAACCGTTCAACTCCTTGAAGCCTCGATTGTGTGCCCTAGTCGCAACACTTCATCATTGAGCCTTCGTTCATTCTCCACCGGTGTATCAACGGCGTCAAGCTACAGCACCATTGTGATTTGAAGGTCAGTCTGCTTTCTCTGTTTCTCTTTCTCTACCCCTCTCTGCTTTCTTCTGGTCTCTCAATTTCTCTCTCTACCCCTCTCTGCTTTCTTCTAGTCTCTGTTTCATCTATGATATTCATCAGGTAATGTTGTGGCCTTGTTTAAAATACAAACAAACAAAAAGAAATTTAAAAATTATTTTAACCCACAGATTTTCATGGATTTGTAGGTTGAAATTTAAAGCAAAGGTGTTTGAATAAGAATATATCAATGCTAAGAAATCTAACAGACAGAGATGAAAATATATATACTAGTATCAAACAACATTACATTTAGTCCATATATATTGTTTGCTTGTGATGAACGAAGTCTAAATCCATACTCACCCAACCACCAAATACTATTAGTGAGTAAAACTGACGAAAAGGTCTATGGAATTGGTAATACATTACAGTGCTTTTAAAGTTTTTTTTTTTTTTTTTTGAAACTTAGCTTTTGATTTGTTTTGCATTTTGTTGGGTTTGAGTAGGGCTAGAGATGGGTCATCTCTGTCTATTATGTATGCTAGGTATTTGATAAAATGCCACAATGGAGAAAATTGTTGTCCATGAATTTAATGCACAGCTTGTAATGTTTTGTTGGCTTAATAATGTGATTAGAGGAAATTCAACATTTATGTACACCTTTTTTTTTTTTTTTTTGAATCTAAAGACATAATTAAAGAACATTTATCATCAAACATAAAAACTTTGAAACATGCCGTCCTTTTAACTAGTTTAGCAATCATGAGGACCAGGCTACAGGAGTGCGCCAGTCTAAATGTTATCCCTCATAAAGAATGTCTGATGTTTGTTATTTTTTCTATTAGCTATTTTGTAATATACCCTGTGGGTATTCAGTTAAGGAACCGTGTTTCTATTGAACCGCACCAGGTGCTATACATATTGATTTTGTTTTGCCTCCACCTATCCCTGCGGGTTGTGTAGGGGATCTAAGTCTACTGGTTGTAGTGTGGTGTTGCTCCAATTTCTCTATAGTTTCACTGCTGCCTCCTCAAACTAGGATTAGTGGAATTGGATTTTGCTTGGAATTTCAGTAAGTGGAAAACCTGCTATTTTGTTGCATTGCGGGTCTCTGCTATTTTGCTAGGAATTTTAGTAAGTGGAAAACCTGCTATGTCTAGTTATATTTAGTTCCATCTATTTTCTTCCAAAGATTTCGTTTTTTTTTTTGAGATTTTCTTTAACCCAAAACCCTAAAATTAGATTATATGGAGGCTTTAATCCTTACACTCCCATTTAACTAGATTTAAAATTGCATATATAGGTTGGGGATTTGCATATGTTTTCGTTGGTTGTAATTTGGGGATTTCTTTTATTTATTTATGTTTTTTGTGACAATCAATCTTGGTCAGCTGGATTCATTTGCAATTTCTCACAAAAAATGAAGTATATGGGTATTGTGTTTGTATTCCAACATTGGGTATTTATCATTTTGTGTTTTGGTAATGAAAATATGTATTTATGTGATCACATGCAAATTGCAATTGAAGTTTATTGGAGATGAATTAGAGAGTTCTTCTAGATCTTGCACTTCTGTTGTTGCTATGTTTGCTTTATTTTGCTCTAAGCTTTGTATGAATAGTTGGATTTTGTTTGTGAGTTCTTCTCTAGAAATTTTTTTTTTATTTTGTAGAGCTAGTATTAGGGAAGTTGCATTGTCCTGGGGCATGGTTGAGGATTAATTTTAATTTTGATGGTACTTAATCATAAATTTGTTTGCGGGGAAGGGGTTTAAAGTGTCATTCACAGTAATGTTTCCTTTCTTGGTTCTTTCTTTATTTTTTCTTTTTTTTTTCTTTGAAATACAAAATCGTGTACTCATGTTTTGTGGGTACAGCTGTTGTTTTAGTTAGAAAGCACAGTGCTTCAAGATTACCTTATGGAGGAACGCTCACTAACATTTTGTTCTCTCTCTCTCTCTCTCTCGGTAGCAGTTGAGAGCCACAGAGATATAGGAAGGCTAAGGATGAGTAAACTAAACAAATCAAGCTCTGAATTGGACTTGGATCGACCAAACATCGAAGATTATCTCCCCTCTGGTTCCATTCAAGAACCTCATGGCAAGCTTTGCCGTAATCTCTCTCTCTCTCTCTCTCTCTCTCTCTCTCTCTCTCTCTGTGTATGTCTCTGAGTGTGTAGGCTTACATTTTTCTGTAAATTAATTCTCTGAACAAATTTGCTCAGGCGTGATCTACTTAACATCTCACCAACTTTGACGGAGGCGGCTGGTGCCATTGTTGATGTTAGTTTAATTTCTCTTTCTCTTGTTGTTGTTGCTGTCTTTGACACTACTCTCTTTTTTAATTATTTTTTATAGGTATAATAATTCCATATAATAATTCCCTCTCTTTTCTTTTCTTTTGACCTACTTGCGATTTTTATGGTTATTTTTTCCTTTTCTCTTTGATTATACTATATTTGTGGCCTTCCATTTGGTTTTTGTGTTTAGCATTTCAAATGGTGTAATTGTCATCATTTGCACTTGTGTCGTGTGCTTGTAATTTATTTTTCGGTTGCTATATAAGAATAATTATGATTAGCTTCTAAGTGTTTTCAAGTACTAACAAATGTTTTAATGATCGTCTAGCAAATTTTATGAGCTGCTTTTTTGTCTATTTGTATAATCATGTTATTCAAATTGGTTCTAACAGAGTCTGCAAGAGTGTGGTTTCAACTTAGAATTTCAGGCTGCATGTTAACAAAGCTTTTTCCCATTTTACTGTGATATTATATTGGGTTATTCAGATGAAGTCATTTCATAGACCTTTATGGATGTCATATCACCTCATTAAATTGTGGTGTGGGATATATATTTCTTTTTCAAGTTCGCCAGCCACTCTTTGCATTTCTTGTCCATGTATCATCTTAGGGATGACAATGGGGAGGAGACGGGTTTGTAGTGCCCTGGACCCTCACAAATTAAATCAAGGTGAGTTAAACGGGGAGGTAGCAGGGGCAGGGGTGGGGTGGGAACAGGTTAATTTTGCAACTTTAGGAATGGCGGTACTATTTAAAAGTGAGAGATGACATGGTATATTACGGATAAGGATTATTTATCCAAAAAAGAAAGTGATGGGAATTCATAGATGTAAGATGAGATAAAGAAGTGAAAATGAGTGTTATATTTTGGTGGTCTTACTATGTGTATATTATATACATACAAAGAGATTTAACAAATCTAATCACTGCATTTTGTTTTTCATGCCTGCTTATGTTAAGCTGAAAGAACTAATGAATGATGAAGAGGAGCTTTTCTCACTCTGATTTGCGAACTGGCGACTTGAGAGCAAAAAATAGGGTCAAATCCATGGATTCACTTGGATTTGACTGATTCTCTTTTACTTCTACCTTGCTTCTTTTATTTTCCATTTAATGTGATTTACATACATAATGAAAAAAAAAATAAGTTGTGTAATCAGAGTTTATTGATCAATTAAAGGCAATGATTGCAATCACTGCATTAAGTGGCGTCTTCTTTAATCCCAGTTTAGTTTGAGATGTATTTCTCTATTCAAATACTGTGAATTGTGGCATCTTGTCCTCTCTTATTATTATTGTTGTTAAAGTGAGAATTTGAGTATCCCTTTTCATTAGACCAGACAAGCATTTATTGCTTTCATTATTTTCTTTTCAGAGGTGTCTGGTGGAGTTAATTTGTAGCTTTTTTGTTGCATCTTGGACTGGGGTTGTCAAGTACCATGGACCACGGCCTAGCATGAGGCGGCCTAAGCAGGTATAACTACATATAACATATTCTTTTATATGATGTATTTATCATATGTTATCATTTTCTAAATTTATGTATACTTATGTAAATTTTATTGTATAAATTAGGCGACAGATGGATCTAGTGGCATTCCGGACCAAGCTTCTCCACGAACACATCAAAGATCCTCTTTGGGAGTCATGAAATGCAACCTTCTAATCGAGGTAAGTCATCATTACAATACACATACATTGACACAAATTTAGAACCACTATTAATGACTTCTTTACCAATAAATTGTTAGTTAGTTAGTTTGGACAAAATTGGGGTTTAATAGGTTGACTTCTCTACTTTGCTTCCTTTATTGGCACCCGTAAAAATACCAAGCAAACCAATGAAATAGAGAATTGGGCAATTGAACAAATCTGAATATCAACAATGTATCAAACTGTAATATACAATTAAAAATAGACCCCTGGATGTTGCTAGTGGTTGCTTGATTTGGTGGCTGCTACTAATGTTTGGCTTTATGATCTTCAACTTCATTGTAATCTTTATTTTTTGATATGTAAACCATATACTTACAAAATAAATAAATAAATAAGACTTGTCGAGAATTATTTGTAGTCTAAATTTTCTTTATAGATTTTAAAATTGAAAATGATACTTATGCTTATTCAATTATTTTTATTGTAGGAAATAAGATAATATGAAGTATCAAACAATGGACGTCATTTCTCGATTTGAACATTTTTCATGGAGATCTTTATAAAATGGTGTCATGAGTAATACTTTTGAGTACTATTGTTATGTGACAAGTTTTTCTTTTGGATTATGGTGTGGGCTATTAGTTTGCTAAAAACATTGGATCTTTTTTGTATTGCAAGCTTATGTAATGAACCTTTTAATTAAGGTGTTTTGGATATTTTGGGATCATGAAAATGCAGACTCTTTTACCTTTTACAATTATTGAGTATTGAGCCATTAGAATAAAATACTGTTGTTATAGATATATAATGTGAGCAAGGCTATGGTGTCTGTTTTGATCATTTTGTAATCAAATTGTCCCTGTAATATGGCCTTTTGGGTTTTGTTTCTAATTCCTTTTGTTGTTTGGATCTTTTCAATGTAACCAGGTTATGTTGCTCTTAGGTTTTTTTTGTATTGTTTGCCTTGTTCTTGCCCTCATTTGCTCTTTGCTTATGTGGTGTGTGAACATGATGGTTTTCGCTGTCTACATTGTCTTTTTTTGTGTTTTCGTTTGTGTGTCTTTGTATAGTTGGTTAGCTTCTAGGGTATACCCCTTGTATCTTGTAGTTTCTTGTCATTTTATTTATGACTTATTCACCACCACCCCCCTCCCCAAAAAAAAAAACATAGCCTACAACCGCGGTTAATAAGCGTCGCTGTAAATAAAATTTTCCCCCCCCCCCCCAAAAAAAAAAAAAAAAAAATAGCCTACAACAGTGGTTAATAACCGTCACTGTAAATAAAATACGAAACGAATTATATGGTTATAGCGACAGTGTAAAACTGATGGAATAGAGTCAAAATATAGCAGCGGTTTACAAAATGTCGCAAAAGTGAAGGATATAGCAGCAGTCGACCCGTCGCTATAAAGTTAGCAAGTAATTGGTAAATTCAAGATATAGCGACATTTGTAACTGCCACTACATCAACCGTCACAATAAAAATAACTATACCAGCGTTTGCAAAAAACGTCACTATAAGGATATGCCGACGGGGCTATTGCAGCGGTTTGGCCGCCACTATTGCAACCGCGGGTAAAGGTGTTTTAGTTTTTAGTGACGCTTTTTCCTACTTTTAGCGACAGTTTTGGCCGCTACTAAATCTTGGTTTTTTTGTAGTGTGAGTAACCCAGTGATGCAATCAGAACCCTACACCGGAGGTGAACGGCGTAATCCGAGAGCAAAACCCAGCAGAATACCAACTATCAGCTCCAAACCCAAATAACCACAGCCGAAGATAACCCACCAGCGACGAGAACAATATACGGCTGTATACTCGTCTGGCGCTGGTTCGTTTGTCAGGGGTTATTTAAACTAGCTGGTCAGAATGATTTAGGCTGGTGTGCTGAAGGTCGTCCATGGCTGGTGCTCCGTTTGGTGTTGTTCTGTTGTTACTCGTTGCAGAATGTGGTCTGGTTGGTGTATGGAGTTATTTTCCATACAGTTGCCATGTCACTTCAATTCATAGGCATCGACAATCAATAAAGTTGAGGGTAGTGGGATCAGACTGCTGGTTCCTGAAGCTGTGGATTAAAAATAATAATGATGCGGGGGTGAAAAAGGAAATAATGTGGGGAACATGTGACGGGAGGTTTGGGAGCTAAGACAATACGATGCAGAGGGAAGTGAACACTAGATACCACTCCACTGTTGTTAGAGGATTTGATGAACATAGCGGTTCACAAACTATCTGGAAGAACAGTTTCATTCCACAATCTGCTCAGCTGAGAGCGGAAGCGCAGGCTCAGGAAGCCACGGCGGCGTCGCTTCAGGCTCAGCTTCAGCAAGTCATAACGAGCGGCGGCGCATAGCCGGAGGACGCCAAGTCGGCTTACATTGATCCAGACCGAGTTGAGGCAGAGAATGGATCGAGGCGAGTGAACCGAGTTGCAAGGCGTGTCGGGAATGAGTTGCTTCGGTGGGTGTATTGCCGTGTCGGCACCTGTCTGTGTAGAGAATGTGGTGCCATGGCTCAAGCTTGTCCTGTCTGTCTCTCTTTCAGGAAGTATGTTGCCGCCGTTGATGGCGAAGAACTCGAAGCTATGTGTAGAAAATTCCAGCGGGCAGCGAAAGCAAAGTTGTCGACCGGCTGCCCGCCGGTGAGAAAGAAATACAGGCCTAAATCTTATAGCTCTGATACCATGTTAGAATTAATGTATAGGAAAAGAGAGAGAGAAACAATTATGTATGTATTGATAGATGTATTTCAGTGATTTACAACACTCTCATTTATAGAGAGTAAATAGGGTACATTGGATGCTAACCCACCGAAAGCATAAAGATACAACATTAGTTATACAACAATATGAGTGGGACAGCTAGATAGTGCAGCTGTATTACATTAATATTACACTAATAACACTAACAATAAAATATATATATATATATATCGCATTATTTTTTTTAACTTTTTTATACGTCTTTTTTTGTAAAAATTTAAAAACTCACTAAAATAGTTAATCAAAAATGCAACGAAAATTCTGAAGAATTGACTTCTTGTGAATCACGTAGAACAGCCAATAAAATTTTTTTAAAAAAAATCAAAATCAAATAACAAGCCCAAACTCATCCTAGGACTGACCCACAGGGTTGGGCCTGGGCCAGCGTTCTAATCCGAAGCCTTAGACCAGGTCAGCCAGCCTGTGAAATAACAAAATAAAAAAATAAAAATAAAAAATTGATCCTTGGGGCAACAGTGAGATGAGATGACTATTTAAGGAAACTCCAAATTAATTGTTTTAGGAATTGTCATTATTGTTTGCATTTTCTTACAAATTAATTCTGTAATAGTAAAATCAAATCTCTTAGGCAAAATTTATAAAATATATCACCGGCTAAACAATTCGTCTGTAACCTTGTTTTTCTTAATGAATGGGAATTTTATTTTTATCAATTTATAAGTCGTTTTATTGTTACATGTTAGTGTCACGTCATCACATATATTGCTATTAATTTTTTTTTTTTTCATAAGACAATGCTGTGTTGACTATTTGGTAAAAACTAAAAACAAAAAGACTGAAAACCTTTTCATGAGTTTTTTTTTTTTTTAGTACTGATGGAGAATTCTAGGCACAAGAGTTAAGATATGTTGAACTCTTTTCATCCACAATTAATTATTTCATAGTAAAATCAAATCTCCTAAGCAGCGTTCTTAGATATATCACCCAACCAAACAATTTGTCGTATCCTTAATTTTTTTGAATGAATAAGAATCTTATCTTCCTCAATTTATGTAGAATTCACCCAAATTATTAATTTTAACAATCTTCCTTGTCAGTCTCTGAACAAAAATTTTAATTTACACTCTCTTCTTCACCAAAGCACAAATATCAACCCAACAAACTAAGAAGAATATGTGGTTCTTGAAATCTTTTCGTACAGGTATTAGCAAAACCTTGTTCTGGTGTGTCAAAACGATTTTTAATATTAAACCACCAGCCAACACCTATGTAACAAGCATAGCGGACACACTCAGCGTCAGAAGTCTGGACTATCTATTGGCACCATAAAATATTATTCTTCTTATTATTATTATTATTATTAGTATTATTTTCAGGACACATGGTATCCTCTTATTCATTTGGAAGTTAAAAGAAATTATGAAGATGATGGAGAACATGAAGGACAAAGTGGAAGAGTGGAAGGATACATGGCAAGACAAGGATGAAGATGAAAGAAATAGGTAGTTACTAAGTAGTTATTGCTGTATTTTTTCTTCTATAAATAGCCATCAAAGGCTACATTGTAAGGGATCCAGAACTCAAATTAAAGACAACTGATTTATATTTTTCTTGTCATTTATATTTCCTGCATTTTATTTTACGCACTTCCTTTTCGAAGCATTTATTTTTAGCACTTCATTTTCGAAGCATTTTATGCACTTCCTTTTTAAAGCATAGGAGTAGAGGTAAGTAATTGTTACTTTGATTGGTCACTCAATCAGCCTGATTGTTCACTCAATCATCTTTCTCCATCTCCCACCTTCTTCTATTAATTTTTCTTTTCTCTATACTTGGCAATTTTGAAGTTCTCTTCATTGAGGCAAAAGAACCGTCAACGTAATCACTTGATAATTGGCTTGAATTTAATCTGTAAGGATTTTTCAATCCTTACTGCTCGCATTTATGATATTTTCTTTCGTAGGAAAAATAAGCCAACACTATCATAACAATAAGTGTGGAGGCATTGAAGGTGTTGTTTTAGGACTCAACTCAAATACAGCCTTTGGAATTTGTGGAGACACTGTGGACTTGCCTCGCCGACGCTGCTCCTGTGGTTCCAACACCTACCAAGACATCCCACAAAAAGCCTTTTCTCATCCGATGCTGGAACACGTCAATGACACCTTCACACTCTTCCTAGTGATTTGTGTTGTGTTTTATATTTATCTGTTGTGTCGAACTACATGGATTTAAACAAGGCGTGTATGGCATAATGATGTTTTTTATTACCTTTGTACCTGCTAGGTTCATTTCTATGATCTACAAGTCAACAAAAACAAACAATACATGTTGTGGTGGCCCAAAAAATACTACCTTATTAACAATGGGCCCAACCCAAACAAGAGAGCCTATCGAGTAAATTTCACACCCCCATCTATAAAAGGAGGGCATCCCAGGGAATGAAGGTATGTCTCATATCTCTGCACTACACTGCACACTCACTCTCTTCAGTTCTTCATCTTCACTATTTGTTTCAAGTTGCTAACTTTATCATCTGAGTGTCTCTGGCCAGCAACCCCGGTTGGGTGGCGTTGACCATGCTTATCTTTGCAGATTTACGGAGGTAAAGCTCATTTCTTCATTGGATCTCTACAATCTATGTGAGAGGATTTTCTGGGTCTCACACATGTAAACAACTTGAAGATTAATCAAAAGTTACTGCCAATGTATAGAGTAAGTCATAAGAAATAGAAGCCTCCAAAGGGTTCCATATGTTGGGGAAAAAAATGATTTTACGATGACTTTAATGTGAAATTAACTTGGTTCTCAACCACCAATTGAATTAAGATCATGAGTGTAGATTCTTCGTAATAAAATCTTTACACTACAAAAAGAATGACCAAAAATCATTGAGAATTAAATGAAAAATTGTTTCATAAAGTTAGCCTTA